ATACTATATTAATTTTTTTATTTATTATAAACATTTTATTTTTATCAATTTGGAACTAAATTTCCTTCCCTCCGATAATATTTTTCAAATTTGCGTAACGATCTTCAAGCCAATAAAATTTAATTTTTGCGTGATATCTGGAGGGGAGATCGTCACATAATTTAGCCAATGAAATCAAATGTCCACTATGCTAGGCTCTTGTGCATTCATTTCCGTTGTAAAAATACTATTAATAAGTGAAGTTACGAATTCAACACGTACTATATGTTTTGTTTAATTAAGAAAGCTAAATGACAAGTCTTCAAGTTAACCTTAATAACTATCGAATTATATAAAAAATGGTTCTTCTATATATGTATATTATCTTTAGTTTTACCAATTTCTAATTGGGTAGAAAAGGTTACGATTGACACATTTATTTAAAAAGGGGAAAAAAATAAGAATATCATTATTATGACATAATTTCATAAAAACGAGCAATGTCTAGATTCCCCAATACTAGGATTGAAACTAATAACTTGAACAATAATCGAAATGAAGAAGTAAAGAAAAGAAATCTTAAAGATAATTTTTCATTTAACAATGACATTTTAAAATTAACAAGTGCTGATTCCAGTAAACCTCAAAGATTACACAATTTTCAGGAAGGGTCTGTTGAAAATAATTTACCAGTATACACTACAACTACAACCAACAATACCAATTTAGATTTTTTAATAGAGGCGAGTATAACTGTTGAAAATAATAATAATGTTGATAACAGTTGTTGTTGTTCAAAGAGTGAATCAGGTTTAGAATACTGGAATAGACAGAGAGAGTTATGGACTCGTGAAAATTCAGATGGTTCAGGGCCTTTCAGTAATAAAAATAATCCAGCTTTGGTTAATTTTACGCCAAAAAATTACAATAAAATATATGATTCATTGATTTATGGAAAGAAAAAATTGTCAAAACCTATTCCTTTGCCATATGTGGTAATGAATAAATTTATAATGCTATTTTTATTTTGTTTTTCTCCATAAATTAATTTTTCTTCTTTTAAGATCAAAGTATTAGTTAGCGGATGGAAAAGAGATGGAATTTGGCCTAGTGACCAGCCATCACCAACTTCAAGCACAAACGCCCAAGTGCCACTTTAGCATGATATGTTTAACATACACTGTATATTTTATATAAATAATATATTAATATTTAACAACTTTTTCCCTAATAAAAAATCATCATTTATTATTTATTATTATTATGTTCAAATAAAAAAGAAATTTTGTACAACATAAAAAAAATGAGTTTTGCTGAAACACAATTAAAAAAATATGGCTGGACCCGAGGTCAAGGATTGGGAAAGAATTCGAATGGAATAAAAAATCCTATAATAATTTCAAATAAAAAGAATACTCGAGGGGTACAGTTTTATTTTAACAGTTTAATAATAGAGATGATAATAATAATAAATGTATGTCTATTTATTTAAAAAAAAAGCTTGGATTGACAGAAGATTGGTCATTCGAATGGTGGACTCAAGTTTATAATAAATCATTGGATAATATAGAAGTTTCTAAAAGCTTGGATGGAGTAATTAAATATATATTCATATGTTGTATATGTATACACTTGTTATTAACATTATTTTCATTAGGAAATAAGGATGACTAAAACGATTAAAAATCCTGAAATTCCAAGAAATAAAATGGGAATTATTAGTACAGTTGAATCACATTATTCAAATATAAACAATGAAAAAAAGCCACATTCTAATTTTCTATATAATAATTTTGTTAAAGGTTCTACTTTGGATATAAAAAAGTAAAGTGTTTTCTTTTTTTAATAATAATAATAATAATAATGTAATATAATAATTAACTTTTATCAATATTGATATTTATAAATCTAGTGAAGTAGAATCAAGATCCAAAGATTTTTTAAATAGTAAAAACAAATCATCAAAAAAAAAAACATCAGAAAAAAAAGCATCGAAAAAATTAAAAAGAAATAATAATTATTATTAAGTGTCAAAGTCGATATGATAAATTTAAAATAGCCCATTTTGTATTATCATTCTATATCTAATGTGTGTAAAGAGAAGTATTTGAAATATTAGATATTAGATAGCTAAACACCAATAACTAAAAATTTTGCTGATTGAGAAGGCATTTTCATATGTATGATAAGGAAGGATATAATAATAATAATAATATAAATAATAGGAGAGAAAGCTCGTTTTTTATAATATATGTGATAATAATTAATCGTAAAAGTATCCAAACGAAGTTTTAAAAATGTCACATAATATAAAATTTATATCATTAGTATTAGATAATTTGGGTCTCACTGTTCAATTTCTTCTATCAATATACGCCACTTCAACCGATTCTCATTTTGTTGTTTTGTTAATGAGGGCAACTCTGAAATGAATTGCAAATTTGTAATAAATCGTATTTTTTGATGTACAAAATCACTTTGAATTTTTTTTATTAAGAACCGCGCCTAAAAATTTTTGATCCTTCAATGACTTTGGGCAACCACTTATCTTTGAAATATTAAGTGTCTGCGATTTTAATTAGGAGAACTACCACCACCTACCTATTATTGGACTTAAAAAGTTTTCTTATTCAGTTTCAGTTTATTTTTAATTAAAAATTTGAACTACAAGCTATTAAATTTTTATTAAATTTTACTATATATAAAATTTAAAATTGAGAAATACAAAATTATTAAAAAATAGATTATAAAACAATGAAAATTTCTGTGTAAACTTGTCAAAATCTAAGCTATCTAATGATATAAATTTTATTATTATGTGGCATTTTGTGTGATTATTAAAAACTTCATTTGAATACCTTTGGAGGGTAATGTATATGTATAATTTTTTTATAATAAAAACAATGTCTTTGAATTTATTCTTTACTTTCCATTATATTAAAAGTTTATTCGGCTGTTTCTTCGCCGGCATATTCTTCACCACCTTCTTCATATTCACCATCATCACCGTCTTCTTCAGCTTGAAAATAAAGCAAATCAAATTATAAATTATAATTAATAGAAATAAATAATAACGACTTATCCCAACAACAACAACAACAATAATAAATAAGATTATTACTTGCAGCCTCTTGATATTGTTGATATTCAGCAACCAAATCATTCATGTTAGATTCAGCCTCAGTGAATTCCATTTCATCCATACCTTCACCAGTGTACCAATGTAAGAAAGCTTTTCTCCTAAACATAGCAGTGAATTGTGTATTAATGCGTTTGAAGAGTTCCTGAATTGCTGTACTGTTTCCAACGAAAGTTCCAGACATTGTAAGACCAATTGGAGGAATATCACAAACAGCTGTTTTAACACTAGATGGGATCCATTCCACAAAATATGAACTATTCTTGGTTTGAATTGTGTGCATTTGTTGTTCAACTTCTTTAGTTGAGATTTTACCACGAAATATAGTAGCTACTGCCAAGTATCTGCCATGACGTGGATCTGAAGCAGCCATCATATTACGTGCATCAAACATCTGAGCTGTTAATTCAGCTACTGTGAGAGCACGAAAACCTTGTGAACCACGAGAAGTCAATGGAGCGAATCCGACCATAAAGAAATGTAAACGTGGGAAGGGTACTGAAAGAATATGTACATATGTATTGATTTCTTTAATTATTATCACAATGAAATAATTATGATAATAAAACATAATATATATCAAACCACTTACCCATATTTACAGCAAGTTTTCTTAAATCACTGTTTAATTGTCCAGGAAATCGTAAGCAAGTAGTAATACCACTCATGACAGCAGATACAAGATGATTAAGATCACCATAAGATGGATTTGTTAATTTAAGTGTCCGAAAGCATATATCATATAAAGCCTCATTGTCAATACAGAAAGTTTCATCGCTATTTTCTACTAATTGATGTACTGAAAGCACAGCATTATAAGGCTCCACAACAGTGTCAGATACTTTTGGTGACGGGACCACAGAGAATGTACATAACATACGATCTGGATATTCCTCACGAATTTTAGACAAAAGTAAAGAACCAAGGCCAGAACCGGTTCCACCTCCAAGAGAATGAGTTACTTGAAAACCCTGAAGACAATCTGTAGATTCGGATTCTTTTCGAAGAACATCCAAGATAGAATCAATAAGTTCAGCACCTTCAGTATAATATCCTTTGGCCCAATTATTACCAGCACCAGATTGACCAAATACAAAATTATCTGGTCTAAAAAGATGACCATATGGACTAGATCGAATGGAGTCCATTGTAACAGGTTCCAAATCAATAAGGATGGCTCTATAAAAGAATGTATATAATATATTATTATTTAATAAAATGAGGATAAGATTATGTATTGTAGTGAAAACCAAAACATCAAGCATGGTAATAAACATTATAATAATAACACCAACCTAGGTACATATTTTCCGCCCATAGCTTCATTATAGTATACATTGATACGTTCAAGTTGCAAGTCACTATCGCCATGATAAGAGCCTGAAGGGTCAAGTCCATGTTCAGCAGAAATTGCTTCCCAGAACTTTTGGCCGATCTAAGAAAATAAATAAAAGAAAGATAATAAATTACCAAATTTAATAAAACGACGCGTTTTTGTTATTATAAATAAGTAATAGCTTGGCTTTGTTGAAACCCTTGGGACAGATTTTAAATTATTATTTTTTTATTTAATAAAAAAAAGAAAAAAAGTTCAACAATAAATGTACTTACTTGATTACCACATTGACCTTCACATAAAAAAAAATACGGGAAAACAAAAGCCCGGATTGTAGGGCAATAACAAGTTATTAATAAGTCCAACGTTTAGTTTAGATTTTTTTGCTAAATGTTTATAATTAATAGATATATTAAATTAAACCTACCAGTTTGAAGGTGAATAATTTCTCTCATTCTTTAATTTATTTAATTTAATTGAGGAAAAAAGAAAAAAATTATGTTTATTTTTTTTTATAGTATTGAGGAAAGATTATGTTGTAAATTGTTTTGAAAGAGTGAAATAATGTAGTAAACTAAAAAGGAATTTTGAACTTGATAAAAAAGGGCAAAAGGATGAAGGAGGAAGGTCATCTAAATAAACTAGTAAATTTCTACGCCAAGGGTAGAAATACGCGAGTTCCCTCTGGGGAGATACTTTCCGCATAACAAAAGGACAAATCAATTGCCAGCTTCTCACAATCCAATAATATTAATTTATTTTATAAGTTATTATTGGTGATTTTTTTAATTTAATTCTGGAAAATTTGTGTCATCTATCTATTTATATATTTGAATTTTTACAGGTTATTTTTAATTTTTTAGACTCGGTTTATTCTAATAAAATGAACGGAGGGATTATTTCTATTTGAACTTGAACTTTTACCCTTAACCAGTAACCGGTTAATTCAAAATCCTCATTGGTCAAAGGATTTTTTACAGGTAGAAAAAAGTCAAAGCATTAATTTTATTGCAACGCGTATATCTTCTGATATAATTTTTTTTTTTTGGAGAAAAAAAATCAACAAGTCTTTATATTCCAATGTATGTATCATCGTTCATACATCAATTATGATTTGTCTAATAGTAAACATCACATCAATCCATTTATCTCAACCATCATACAAAAATGATCAGAATTAAATTTAAAGTTTGGAATTGAAGTTCCAATTTCTTCTTCTTTTGGCATCTTCAATAATTTTGTGAATTTTATTCTATTATCATCATTATCATTATCAAGAATATAAAAGATGTAATCTAAAGTTCCTTTAAAATATAATCCATAACTTGTATACTTGGGTTCTGAATGCTTAACATTTTCTGGATCAACATATTTGTAATATTCTCCGTAAATTGATATACATCTAGGTAACTTGGAAAATGTCGAAAGAAGTGTAGGTGTTGTCATCAATGATGTATTTGGTGTTGATTTTGTTGCTTGATCCTTGTTTGTTTCTCCTATTTTTTGGTTTTCATCTTCACCAAACGCTCTCATGGAAGTTTCTAATTGAGTTATTTTCTCTTTTGATAACAATCTTTTTACAATCAATTGATAAATTGGATCTTCTGGTGAGGTATTAAAATCTATATGTAAATATTTATGGTTTATATTAGTAACATTAATATAAGTGTATATATATGTATTAATTTTTATGTTTTAATTACCTCCTGCTAAAAATGCTGGAAATCCGACTTCCTCTTTAAATTTTAATATATTTTCAATTAAAATCAATGCTTGTCTAGCACGTTCATACATACTTTCAGGTCTCCAATAAAGGTGTGTTGTTCCTATAAGGATCCCTTTCCTTACATTATTGTTATCGTTGTTGTTGTTGTTGATGTTGTTGTGTTCAATAGCAAGAATTATACCAATGCAGTTTGTAGGCATTGTTGGAATTCCATGTTTGTCATATTCAATTACAACTGATTTAACTTTTGAAAATTTCAACTTTTTCCATATTATGCAACAACCTTAAAAATCTCAAATTAATAATATCTAATTTAATTAATTAATCGATATGTTTATTTATTTATTTTTACCGTTTCCTTTTTTATATCCTTTAGAAAACAAAGTTTCATATCCAACATGTTCAAATTTGTCTTTAAAAGTATCGTTATAATTGAGTTCATCCATCTCCTGAAAACACCCTATATCTGGTGAATAATATAAAATTTCTTGTATAAGTCGTGGATGTCGATGTTTCCATTTCAATGCCTCTCCACTATCTGGAAAAAGTTTACGCTTACAAAGTGATTGTGCCAAAAGCTATACACATCAGTCAGTAAGGTTGGTTCGAATATAAAAACTTATAAACTTTCAAAAATAAGACTATACAGACATTATAAGTCATTAGAGTGATAATACCATTCTCACTCTCACTATTAACATTCGAAAGGTTTAACATTGATCTTAAAATTGGTTCCGAGTAATTTTTTTGTAGTCGTTTACTTTCCACATTACATGTAGTATTATGAGCTGTTTGTTTCTTTAGTTGGTTTTTTTCTTTTTTTGTCAACTTTTGTTGCCGTTTTTTATCTTGACCAAGTTCTGAATTTTCCCCTTTATTATCCACCATCACATAACATGTAATATATATAATACGTATATTAATATAATTGATTGATGTTCTATTTTTCATGTAACACGAAACTATTTTAATTAAACAATAAATAAATAAATTCCAAAACCTCTTCAAAAAATTTTTTTAAAAAAAATTATATATACACATATACATATACACACTTAAAAATCAAAAAGCAATGGATGGCGCCTTAAATAATCGAAGGCGTTCTGAACATAATATCAATTATATACAGTCAGCTGGAAAAAGAAATAATACTGAGAATGCTGACTATGTTGGAATTACTATAAGCGATGATTTTTCTCAAAAACAATTACCTCCGTTGCCTGTTATTAACAATTCACCACATTCACAGCAACAGCAACAACAAAACGGTCTACGATATAATTTTTTTAATACTTATCATACACAACGTCCTTTACAGCAGCAGCAATCAAACCAACAGCAAATTTTGCAGCAACAATCCCACAATCAACAACCAATACTAGTACAACAATCAAACCTACAACAACAAATACTGATGCAAAATCAACCCTCTACAAATCAATTACCACAATCAATAAAGACTTCCTATCAACAAACTTATTTAAATTCTCCTTCTAATTCTTCACCTAATAAACCTTCCACTACTTCCTACTCTTCTAACAATAATAATAAATCTTCCTACCAATTACATTCCTCGACACATAATGATTACGCTTCAAAAGCTGATTTTCGAGATTCCTTATTTCTCCGTGTTCGTTCTAAATCCGATTTACAGTCTCAGCCTGCATTCCGCGAAATAAGTACTGTGAAAAGCATTGTTAATGTATGTGATTTTATTCAAAATATAGCTACTACTACTATTATTATTATTAATATATTAAATTTTATTATTAATGAATTGGGCTAAAAATATATAAAATGGGGATTTTAATAAACACACAGCCACTAAAATCATTAACTGTCAATCTAACAACAACGTATCAAAATATCAATCCTAATTTTCGGTATGAGCTCTCCTATAATCCACGAAGAGTTTTAACAAAGCCTTCAAAAGGTGTCAAAAATGATGGTTACGATAATGAGGACAGTGATTATATTTTATATGTGAATGATATATTAGGGAGCGAAGAGGGTCAAAAGTAGAAAAAAGTCTTAATTATTTTTTAATTTTTATTTGTTATTACTTCTCATGTCTAATTTTGCTTTTTTTGATACTTTAGGTATCTCATATTAGATATTCTTGGTCAAGGGACATTTGGTCAAGTTGTAAAATGTCAAAATCTTAAAACAAAAGAAATTGTAGCTGTTAAGGTTGTGAAAAACAAACCTGCATACTTTAATCAAAGTATGATGGAAGTGACTATATTGGAGTTGGTAATGTATAAAAATTGCATGTTAAATTGCGATACCTGATTTTTTTTGTTTATGGAATATTTTATTAAAATTTTTGATATTTGACAAAATAAATAATATTCAAGAAAGACATTTTTTTTACTTTTTATTTAGCTAAATCAAACTTGGGATATTAAGGATCAACATCATATTCTACGACTTTTGGATACTTTCATTCATCATCGTCATCTTTGCCTTGTATTTGAGCTATTATCTGTTAACCTCTACGAACTTATTAAACAAAATCAATTTCGTGGCTTAAGCACAAACCTTGTTAGATTATTTACTGCACAATTATTGGATGCGTTGACTGTGCTGAATGAAGCACGAATAATTCATTGTGACTTGAAGCCTGAAAATGTATTGTTGAAAAAGTGTGTGAATGCCTCATGGGTCATATTAATTGGATATAATGGTTTATTTCTATAATGTTTTTATCTATTACCATAATTTACGCGCAAAAAAATATTTAGTTCCGATTATTCTTCATTTATTTATTTCTTTTTACAACAATAATCAAATAAAATATCTATTAGTCTGGAATCTCCTACTATCAAAGTCATCGATTTTGGTTCTGCATGTCATGAACGGCAAACTGTTTACACATATATTCAATCAAGATTTTATCGAAGTCCTGAAGTATTATTAGGTTTACCGTAAGTATTAACTATTTATTTTATATTAAAATTTATGTATAATGACTTTTCTTTTTTGTGAAAACAAATTAAAACTAATAAATGTATACATACAATAGATATTCTTCTTCAATAGATATGTGGTCTTTGGGTTGCATCGCTGCTGAGTTATTTCTAGGATTACCATTATTTCCTGGCAGTTCAGAATATAATCAAGTATCTCGAATAGTAGAGATGTTAGGAGTTCCACCACCATATATGATCGAAGTTGGTAAAACAGCTCATGGATATTTTGAACGTCATATAAATGAACATGGCCAAAAGAAATATCGTTTAAAATCTATGGAACAATATATGCAAGAACATGGTTGTGTGGAACAAGTTTCAAAAAGGTATTTTTCAGCAACAACTTTACCAGAAATCATTAAATCTTATCCAATTTTAAGAAAAGGATTATCTCAAAAAGATGTCGAAAAAGGTAATATTCTTTTTATATCTCCCTATCTTTTTTTAAATACTCGTTCATGTTGAAATTGTTAATTAAGTTTATAAAAATCTCCTTACCAAAAGAAATGCAAAATAGATTGGCTTTCATTGATTTTGTTCAAGGACTGTTAAACTTGAATCCAATTGAGCGTTGGTCACCTCAACAAGCTAAGCTACACCCATTTATTACAGGAGAAAAATTAACCGGTAAATTCACTCCTCCTATGCAACTTAAATCTCCAAATAAAGTTTGTGCCTCTTCTACACAATCACCAAATTCTCAATCTACCACCAATACACACTTAACATCGTTATCTACAAATTCACAATATAAAACATCAAATTGTTCTCCAACAAAAGTATTAAATAAAAACCCAGTAATTATAACTCATGACATCCCTACTGTAACAATTTCATCCAACTCCATTGCTACACCCATATCTTCTGCTCAAATACTATCAACACAACAGTCTTCCAATATATCAACGTTAACACCTAAATCAGGTTTAGGATCACTGAGACCTCGTGCAAGTACAATTGGAAATATTCAAGTTCCGCCACAAATACAGAGAGCTGCAGCTCTTGTATCACCAGGTAACACGGGAACAATGCCCATAGAAAAACTTAGACCTCCTAAGGAAAAAGATCCAAGACGTTTGCCACAACATTATCCACATTTACAGTCAACAACACAAGGACAAGAGCAACAACAATCAGATATCACGCAATTATCGGTGGTGGTTGATGGAGAAGATAGAAGGGCATATTAATGAGCATATATTGTGTCATTTGAACAGTATGATATGCTAATTTGGTGTAGAACAGTGAAATTTAAGTGTCATACAATTATGCAAGTTTTATATTTATATGAATTTGTAAGAAAAATTTTTTTATATTTAATAATAAAATTTTATCTGGAATCTTGAATTAAAGTTTTTTCAGTATAAATTTCTAAATGTACACAATTTATATACGTACTCGGAATGAAATACTGTCATATTAAACAAATACTCATCCAGTTTTCTTTAAAAAAGATAGAGTTGAACATCTATTCTTTACATTAGAATTTTAGCACCTCATTTGAACTTAACAAGTGACAAAATTAATTACCAACTACTTCGTTAAACCTCAGATTCCCATTAGATCTTTCCAATATTGAAGAAGTATTGTCGTATATATATATTGGCTGGTATTAATGGTTTGTGTAGTAGGTGTACGGTTCTTGAGAAGGGTGATAAAGTGGGTTGAGAAGTTGAGAGCAAACTTGATGCAATAGTTGCTGAATGAGAATCAACAAGGCTTTATAGTGTAGCCACATTTAAATGAAATACACGATAGGTTAATACATTCAAAAGCACCATATATTTTGACACTAGTGATATTTCCGTTGATAATTCTGGATCGTGCGTGCAAGAACAGGAGAGACCGTCCTATATAAGGAATGGATTTTCACAATTGATTTCAATTTTTTTTATACAGTTTAAAATACTT